GAGCTATAGGGAAACAGAGCCAGGCAGGGAAAACTAAACAAAAGCTGGGAAGAAGAAGACAGAGTCAGAGAGAAGCCATTCAGCCCCACAGGAGCCAGAGGAAACTTTAGCTGGTAAACCACAGCCACGTGGTGATACACAAATTAATAAAAATGGGTTGAATTAATATGTAAGAGTTAGCCAATAAGAAGCTAGAGCTAATGGGCCAAGCAGTGACTTAATTAATCCAGTTTCTGTGTGATTATTTTGGTTCTGAGTGGCAGGGAGGAACAAGCAGCTCCCTGCAACTCGCAGACGATCAGCAGTTATTTTGGTTTCATTTTTAAAGATCTTATATATTATCTTAGACTACCTCCTCAGAGAAGAAAATCATTGCTTATGAAATATCATTGAATAGGCAACTCAAAAGGTGAAGGAAATGACTATTATTTAATAAAACGTATTATCGGGAACTGAGGTGATAGCTCAGTAAGTAGAGCGCTTATTGCACACACAAAGGGGCCTGTATTCAGTCCCCAGGACTATATAACAAAACACAAGTGTGCTGATGCGTGCTTGTAATCCATTGCTGAGGAGATAGACACAAGTGGATCTGTGAGGTCTGCCAGTCATCCAGCCTACTTGGCCAGCTCCAGCCCAGTGTAGGAATCTGTCTTATAAAACAAGGAGGGCATCTCCAGGGAAACGACACCTAGATTGTCCTCTGGCCTGAACAAGGACGTGGATACATGCACAATGCACACATGTACACACATGTGCATGCACACACATGAACATGCACATACATGTATTAACATATATAAGCAGAATGTCTCTATGATATTCAAGTTATAGAACATTTTGATTCTCATCTAATCATTTTCAGTCCTGGTTGTTCTTATCTTGGGGTTGGTTTCAGTTCTTGCCTATATTAATAAAATCCCTTATCCCCCTCATCCAAGCTCTGGGTTAAATCAGATATAGTAAAATAAACATAAAAAGACAAGCCGGGGCCTTGGCAGAGCTGTTTCATGGTTTTGTGCAAAAAAAGACACATTTAAATGCCAGAAGGAATAATGTTCACAGATAAAAATGTGACATGAAACACACTTACTGGGGTGCATTTAACCTACTGACATCTAACTGATCTCAGGTTTGAAAATGTGGCACCTTCTCCCAGTTCTACAAAACATCTCGTCTAACAGGGCGATTTTCAAACCCTTTGAACTGGACATTTCTTTAAGGCAAAAGTCTAAAATCAGAGCAGTGTTCTGAATCCTTACTTCCAAAACAAGTCATTAAACCCCAGCTTTCCAAAGCTTGAGACGTGATTTTGCTATTGTCTGTCAAGTTTGGGCTTTTCATCTCCTGCCTCTGTGTATATTTTATTTCCTGCCTTACATAAATATAAAGGGCACCACCAGCCAGCTCTGAGCTCATCAAACCCCTGACAACACAAGTAATGCCAGATATAAATATTTTCATTGTCATAGAAAATGTTTCCAAAATCGCAAACTCTGATGCCTTTGCAAATTGATTTGGAACAGGTACAATGTACTGAACTGAAAATGATAAAAAAAATTCTGAAAAACAAACAAAAGGCCCAAATCAACAAAAATATTCTAATATATGAGAAACAGATTCCTTTTTTCCCAATGCATTAGAAGGAAATGGCTCTTTCTTTGTTTTATATCAACGCTTCCTTCTAAGATGACACAACCAAAGGAGGAATCCGCATTGATTCGGTGCCAATTTGCCATTTTTCCTTTCTACTCCCAATGCATACTTTACCTAAAATCACTTTGAACATCTACTGCAATGTTGTCCTATCTTTCAAGAATAGTATTTTAATTAGCATACAAAATAATGGGTTTCATTATGACATGTTCATGTATGTAAATCATTGTTAATTGATCATGCCCATCCTTTTATTGCCCTCTCTTACTCCTCTCACCCACTCCACTGGACCCCTTCCTTTACTAAATATCTCCCCATATATATACACACATATGTGTGTGTATGTGTACAATGTCTAGACTGCACATGAGAGAAAACACAGTGTTTTCTCCCCCCCATGTGCCCCACGTTTTCCCTTCTTATACATTATATACAACAAATGCATAGCCAACATTGGACTCTGTAGAAATACTAAAAACACTTTGTTTTATATCAAGGATGAGCCAAAGGTGTCTACTTCTTCAATATTGTGGTTAGAGTCCTTGCTAGAGCAATAAGGTGTGAAGGAAATACAATGGAAATAATCAAATAAAACTAACATATCTTTATTTATTTATTTATTTTTATTTTTTTTTATTGAGAATAGGAAAAAAAAGTTTCCGCCTCCTCCCAGTCTTCCATTTCCCTCTCCCTCCCCCCCCTCTTCTCCCCCCCCCCCCCCCCCCCTCCCCCCCCCTCTCCAATCCAAAGAGCAGTCAGGGTTCCCTGCCCTGTGGAAAGTCCAAGGTCCTCCCCCCTCCGTCCATGTCTAGGAAGGTGAACATCCAAACTGGCTAGGCTCCCACCAAGCCGGAACATGAAGTAGGATCAAAACCCCTTGCCATTGACCTTGGCTTCTCATCAGTCCTCATTGTTCGCCATGATCAGAGAGTCCGGTTTTATCCCATGCTTTTTCAGTCACAGTCCAGCTGGCCTTGGTGAGCTCCCAATAGATCAGCCCCCACTGTCTCAGTGGGTGGGTGCACCCCCCGTGATCCTGACATCCTTGCTCGTGTTCTCCCTCCAATTACCAACGTATCTTTATTTTTGCATGATATCGTCTTATACTTAAAAGACTCCAAAGACTTCAGCAGAAAATTCTTAGATCTGATGAACATTTTCAGCAAAGTCAGAATATAAAAGTCAGAAGCTTTTTTTTTTTGGTCTGCCAATAATGAACATGCTGAGAAAGACGTCAGGAAAACCATTCCATTTGTTATAAATAAACTGATAAAATATACGAATGAATGTCACCCGGGAGGAGAAAGAGCTATACGGTTAAAACACTAGGCATTCCACAACTCTTAGGAAATTATCCATTTCACCAGTTTCAGGACTTGATGTCTGCTTTCATCAACATCTTCTGCTCTACCCACAAGCACCTGGGTGCTTTTCATGATTTTCATGAAACCTAGGCAGCAAACATGTCTTCGGTGTTTGTGTATGTTACTGTTTGCCCGGGATGAATGGAGAGGATGCCGCTTGTCATCCTCTCCAACAAAGAAAAGATAACTCAATGTTTACTTAAGCTGAAACTCTCACTTATAAATGCTGATCAGAAAAGTAACATGCCTGTGACTTCAAATGAGCAGTTTATATAGAACAAGTTGTATATGTGAGCTGTATCGAGATTATTTTAAAATTCATAAAAATATAATTGCCATTGGAGCAATTAGAATGGTTTTGTTCAAAACAAAACAAAACAAAAAAACCAAACATCATTTCCAATATTTTTTTTTCAAGACAGGCTTTCTCTGTAACTTTGGAGCCTGTCCTGGAACTAGCTCTTATAAACCAAGCTGGCCTCGAACTCACAGAGATCTGCCTGTGTCTGCCTCCGAGTGCTGGGATTAAAGGTGTGTGTCACCACAGCCCGGATCTAAATCATTTTTAAAAGAGCATCCAAATACTGCATAGCTAAATATTCTCAATCTCATATGCAATGACTTGATGTTTTTCTACTTGGAAACAGGATTCATATTCACATGTATATGTGTAACATATGTGTGTGTGCATGTATGTGTGTGCATGTGTGTGTACAAATGTGCTAACCTGAATATGGGAATGTGGAGGCCAGGGGCCTTTCACATTCCACTCTAGGTTTTGAGACAAGGTCTCCCACTGAACCTGCAGTTGGCCTTTCTGGTTAAACTGGATGGCTAGCCAGCCTGGGTTCTGCCTGGCCTCACCTACCATTCACTGGAGGTTCAGATACTGGTAAGCATGTCCCTCACTAAAGGTATCACTCGAGTCCCCAGCAATGCTTCTTAAAACCTGGTACAGTTGCTAACAAGCTTTTGGTGAGTCATCATTGTGTGTGTGTGTGTGTGTGTGTGTGTGTGTGTGTGTGTGTGTGTGTGTGTGCATGTGAAAGGGACATGGTAGAATACATGTTTCAAAATATCAGAAAGGGTAAAAATGAACATCCAAGTAGAATGGTGTGGATGGGTAACAGACTGCAGAGAAGGAAGAGGGGCAGAGCTTGAACAATCCAGTTGTGGAGAAGAATCTGCCAGGAATAACAGGCACCTATAATTTCAATCCTAGCTTTTTTGCACACAAGTAACTTTTCATTCTCTTGAATTCACAACAACAAAATCACCTTCAAACACAATTTTCTATGCGTGTGCATTTTCCCCAATTCCAACATTCTAGCCAACAGTAAAAGGCAGTGAAACAGAAACAAGTCAGCAAGAGAAATACCAGATTCTTTCAGTGAGCAGCCCCCAAAGGCACTATGCCCTTCACAAATTAAGGATGTGCTCCTGGCGGGAGGGAGGAGAGGTCAAGACTGAGTCTGGAATAGGAATGACAAAGCATAGCTCAGCATTTCTGGGCAGAAGGGAGGATTCTTAGCCAGCAAGATGCCCCTAGGAAGATTAATTATTGATTTTCTTATAAATCATCTCAGGTGATTGTTGTTTGTTTTCCCTCCCAGGATGATAAACGTCTGATTTTACTTTTGTTAAAATAAATTCCTTCTACTTCAGTGCAATTAAATGAAGACCAAGAGAAGAAATCTCAGAGGAATGATTTTCCAGCATGGTAGGCAAGGGAGTCAGCCGCGTTGAGTTCCGACCTTCTTAGGATACCAATGGTTAGGACCACCAACAGATTCCTGGTGGTTTTGAGTTGAGAGACACATGGGATTATGAAGGAGGAAAAGCACTATTTGGACTTAGTTATATTTGTTAGGTATGCTTTTGCGGTCTGTTATCATCACAGAAACCAAGATCCAGAAGGCCAGCCTAGACAATTAGCATCACCCATCATCATGGAAGCAACATTGTGGCGTTGTGCCTTACCTTCCTGCCTCCAGTGTTGATGCGCAGAGGAGTCAGAAAGGGATCGAAGATCATGTGACTGGTCTCTATGTTGACTGGTGACTGTCGTTTCCCCACAGAGCAAAGATTCCAAGCTGAGTTCACCAATCCCCAGAAAGAAGGAACTAGGAGTAAAGTGAAATTGTAGGATTAGGCCGGATGGAAAAGTAGGGTAAAAAAAGTAATATATTAAAAAGAAACCCAAGTTAAAAGGTGGTAAACCAAGAATGTCAAGTAATATTCTGACTCAAGGACATCTCAAGGTGTTGCCATGGTATTTTCCCAGACCTCAATCCTGGTCAATTCTCCTGTATCATCTTCATGATCTCTGAAGGACAGGTTTTCTTACTTAACTTCATGCATACCCTGTAGCCCATTTGTTGCATTCATGCTTTGGTATTAACATTGTCTTTTAAGGCATATCCTCTTTGCAACATGTTCAAAGTACACCAAGTATTTAACAACTCCAGAGTGGATGCTCTGTTCCTCTCCTAGGTGGAAATGATGTGAGAATCGGTGGTGTCCAATCTTGAAGGCATCTGAAGCTTTTCAAAGCTAGTGTCGTTTGACATACACAAGGTGTTTTTCTGTGAGTTGTCAAGACCAAACTGAGAGAATGGTTTATTTTTATGACCCTCCAATCAAAACTAGACAGGAGCTTAGCAACTTGACTCTATCTGTGTTTGGTTCAATGTTGTGTCATTAACCTAATGTTCCAGCAACTGGAACACGTGATTGTTTGAGAGACAGGAAAAAAATTACATCACAGGCTGAGTGCAGAAGTGAAGATAGCCAAAGGAAAACTGTCAGCTCACTTTCAGTAGAAATTTGCAGTAGAAATACCGATTAGTATAATTTTTTAAAATAGGATTTCCAGTCTTGTTTCCTTGTATTTAACAGTTAGTGGAGTAATAGGAATAGTTAACGCTCAAAGTTTATGTTCATGAAGAAACTATACCTTTAGTATTTTCTGTCTCATTAGTATTCCCATTGAAGTGCAGAAGCCATGCATCCCCCATTTTTCCCTGTGTGTGTTTGGTCATTCACCCACTGATCAACACACAGTATTTGGAATGAGGTCCTACCTTAGTGTTTTGCCCCAGGTTAGGCTGAATCTCAAGGAAAGAACAAAGGGATAAGAATAACGTGAACCAAAACTTGAACTGATTGGAAGGTGCTGTGGGACTATTGATGATGTGCACCCAGCTCTGCCTTAGAGGAGTGGCCGTAGATAGTGATTATTGATGAACATTGCAATCATGTCATAATCTTATGTGCTTGCCATCTCAAACTCAGGATGAATGCAGATGTTAACTTACCACAGCCACCATGCCTGCTCATACCATAATGGCTAAAATCCAAAGTCACAGAGCAGTCTAGGAAACACTTTTCAAACAATTGTATAACTCCGAAGAACTGTGATAGATGGGATGTTTAGTCCCATGAAAACCATACATTCAATGACTTTATTAGCTCAAGTCAACAATGGGCAGAAGCAGATTCCCAGACAAATACTTTAATACCAGTATGTGGTGGGATTTATATCTAATTTGACTTAATCCATTCCAAGGAGCCTCTGGTGGCTCTGTTCCCTTTAGGTTAATGTGTTTGAGTCCATTTCCTCAACATGAGCAATTTTCAATATGGCACCAATGGCCAGAGGGAGAAGAAGGAAGAGAAGAAGAAGAGCAAGAATAGAAGCAAAAAAAAAAAAACTTCCTCATGGACGTGTGCTTCCTTGATGCCCCCATTTCTTATTGTGTGAACTATGGTATCACCAAAAATTTCTTAACATGTTTACAAGATGCCACATCCTAGCAAAACTAAGATATCTAATGAAGTTTTTGCAATATAAATGTACTTTTCATCCTTAGTGTACCTTACACACTAGGTGTGGAGGTTGTGTTGTTTGAGACTGGGCACCCAACATCAGTTGTTTTCTATTAGTTGATCAGCTGTGGCAACTGAGGCTTTTTGTAATGGTCTCCATCTGCTGCAAAGAGAAGTTTCTTTGTTGAGGTATGAAAGCAACATTTCTCTGTGGGTGTAAGGATAAGTACTTAGAATGAAATTAGGAATTGCCTTGGTTTAGTAAAATTCCAGTAGTACATTGTTCTCTATGGTCTGTGATCTCACTAGCCCTGGATTGGTTTGCATTACTGGGCAAGACTTTTCTCCTGTTGTGTGGGCCTTACGTCCAATTAGTCAGCTACTGGTTATTGCAAAGAGATGAGTGCTACTATTGCTCCTTTAGTAGTCTTGCCTGCCTGTCATTGTTGACGTTCATAAAGGTTGTCACCTTTATGGCCTTTTGATTACTTCCCTCCCCTGAAAACTTGTATAGCACCTTTACATACTATGAGAAAGAGTCCCCAGGAAAGTGGCTTCTAGATTTCTTCCAGCTCAAATTTTCTGGGTCCTGTGATCATGGTGTCTAAAACAGGGACTTATCTTCAACTTCTGGGAGGCGACTAAGGGCAGCAGCAATAACTTATATTGTTTTGGGAGTCTCTTGTAATTCCTTAAGAACTTGAAAAGAGTTTTCTCATGGCTGGCAGCGATTTCTGCAAAATAGTCTATGGCTTTTGGGTGAAGAATTAATCTCCCCGAATAGCACAACCTCACACACACACACACACACACACACACACACACATACACACACACACAGGAAGGGGAGAGAGAGAGAGAGAGAGAGAGAGAGAGAGAGAGAGAGAGAGAGAGAGA